CTGTAATTACCCTCAGTTTGTCCTTTGGGAAATTCATGACGTTGACCCATAGTGTCACGCCAATGCAGTTCCCTCAGTTTTCTAATGTCCCTTCTGAGCATATCATTTATAGTACTTGGTCCCACTGCCAGAAAGGGCTCAGGTCCTATCGGGGCCGAGGAAGCAGCTAATCTGGCCAGGTGATCAGCCTCCTCATTTCCTGCCACCCCCATGTGCCCAGGTACCCACATTAGTTGGATATCATTGACCTCCGCCAGAGCATTGAGCCTCTCGACACATTCCAAAACCAAGGAGGACTTGATCTCGAATGATGAGAGAGCCATAAGTGCCGCCTGACTATCACTTAGTATAAGTATCCTTTCATTCCTATAATTCCTACTCATGTTGATCTCAGCGCACAAACTGATGGCATAGACCTCCGCTTGAAAGATGCTTGGAAAGGTTCCCAGGGGCACCGAAAGCTTCAGCCTGGGGCCGTACACGCCTGTTCCAATCCCCGCAGGTGTTTCAGTGTACCACTGTATTGTGCTCGCCTGTATGCGCCTTTCCATAATAGAGGCACACCAGGTCACCTTGCTGTAAGTGTAAGTCCTGAAATTCCTTTTGAAGATAACCTGTCTGTTGATATCGTCTCTGGGGAAAAGAGCCAGGGGGAGCTGGGTACCTAGCTTGTCCCTGTTCCTAGAGAGGGGTCTGTTTCAGAGTGTTAAACCTGATCTCATGGTCAATAATTTTCTCCATTGCCTTCAACATAAATGATGTGAGACTTATCGGCCTGAATGACTTGGCAAGAGAGTAATCGCTCTTACCTACCTTCGGGATAAAGATAACCCTGGCCTTTTGCCACACCTTGGGAATGTGGGCCAGCGCTAGACTGTCCCTCATAACATCTACAGGATGTGGGAGTTAGAGCTCTTCACCCAGCTTCAGCAACACTGGACATATACCATCCACCCCAGGGGACTTGTACCGTTCGAAGGAGTCCAAAGCCCACCGCACCGTTTGCCGGTTTATAAGGCTCTTAGCCAGCTTCCAGTCCGGTAGGGATGGCCTGTATGCACGGAACATAGCTTCCCTAGTGGTGGGAATGACGTCCGAAAAGTGGGCCGACAACAGGGCGAGTGCCCTTTCCTGTTCCGTACCTGAAAAGGTCCCATTAGGTAGCCTTATTACCAATCTCGTGCCTGTGTTGTCCCTTGCCAAAGCTTTATGAAGCCTAGCAGCTACAGGAGTGGATGCAATGTTTTCACAAAAGGTCCTGAAGCTACTACGCTTGGCCTTCCTGATCTCCTTATTGTACTTTGTCAGACTGACTGAGTATTCCTCCCAGTTCCCGGTTAAACAGTCTGCGAACCTCTTTCCTAAGAACCGAGAGTTACCGTGACCACCAGGGAGGCTGAGCCTTTCCTTTAGGCTTTGACACGGGACAGCTGGACGTAGAGGCAGGAGGTGTGCATGCAAAATACACCAAAGCCAATCGAAATAAATGTCCAGCGTATGGAAGAATATGCAAAAACTGCAACAAGAAAAATCATTTTGCAAAGGTCTGTAAGCAACGACCGAATAGCGAGAGCACCAGCGATGTTCCGAAAACAGAACGACGGCAGCGAAAACGAATAGCGAAAATCGAGGAAGCAGAGACAGACAGCGACAGCGGAGAATGCTTAAACATGATTAAAATATTCGATCGGAAGCGAATAACGCAAAATTGATCTACACTAAGCTAAAATTTCTAGTTAGAAATAAAGAAGTTCAAGTGAAATGCTTTTGTGACACAGGGTCGACGTGCAACGTAATTGGTTGCCGAGAACTGGAAGCCATTGTCGGTAAGGAGATAAAAATAAAAGAAACAGAAGTGCTTTTACGAGGTTTCGGGGGAAATATAGTACAACCAATTGGGTCAGCTATACTGAAATGCAGAACAGAGAATGACATAAGGAAAATAAAGTTTCAAGTGGTAAAAAATCCGCAAATTCCACTTTTGTCTGCAAACACGTGTCAAGGCTTTAAAATCATTCAGATTAAAGAAACGAACGCAATTGAAACAATGTCGTCGAGTGAATGTAT